GCCACCCGGGGGCGGGGTCACCTGGGTCCCGGGTGAGCCCTTTAGGAAGAAAAAGAGATCCTTACACCGCCTAAGTACATCACTTCCGGGTGTGACAGGTGGATACGGAGACTGCCTGACCACAGGGTAGGAGGAACGGCTTTCTTCGCACATACGAAGTGGTACTATGAGAGTGAAAGCCGGCCGTGGCAGTGCTCGCCTGCAACTCCAGCGCTATGAAAACTGAGGCAGGAGGATCACAGTAAATTTGAGGCCAGCTTGGGCTACATAGTGAGTTCAAGTACTGCGTGAACAACAAAAAACCAACAGAGAACAAAAGGAAGAAAGAAAAAATGAAGGAAAGATTGGTTTGGCTACTTAAATGAATAAGTCTGAAATAATGAAGTTCTCCCCAAGATGCCATCAGTAAAAAAGGACAGTGAGGAGGACAGGAAGAGAGAGAGGGAGAGAGGATATTTACAACACGTGCAACGCACCAAGGTTCAGAATCTGCAACATCCAAAAACCCCGCCAAACCTCTAAGGAAATAAAAAGCCCCAGCAGGACGGAAGACTAGGGCAAGCATTTCACCAGCCGAGACCCAAAGGGCCATCCATCCACACGAAAATGCCCCAAATTCGCAACTGGGGAAACACAAATTACAACCACAGGGAAAAACCACTGCACACCCACTGTGTAAGCAGACGAGGACACAGGCAGCCACTGGCTTGCCGGGAATGGGACAGGGTGACCACGGGAGGCCCTGTCCTGTCCCATCCTGTCCTCTGCTGATCTTCCAGGCAGATGCCGGAGCAGCCCAAGCGGGAAAACAACCCATGTGCCCATCACAGGAGAGCAGAGAAGCAAACTGGCCTAGATTTTGTTTGTTTTTTGAGACAGGGTCTCACTATGTAGCCCAGGCTGGCCTCCAACTCAAGGGTATCCTCCTGCCTCAGCCTCCTGAGGGCAGGGTTGACAGGCATGCATCACCGCACCCTAGCACAGATGAATCTTATGGCTGCCACTGGAAGCAAAAGAAATCTGAGCAAAACACCTACTGCCGGCCTGAGTCTATAGACAGCTCCAAAACAAGCAAAAGCAAGTCACGCTGCAGAAGGTGGCTGCTCCATGGCAGGATGCGGACAGGACTGTCACAGAGTTGGGATGGGGACCTCTGGGGAGCAACACAACAGGAGAGGGGCCCGGGAGCTGAGTAAACTGCACTCAGCATTTGAACACCAAGCTCTGCCTGCCGAGCCACCATGCACTCAGAAGGGCTCATCCTGTTCCCACACTGCACGGGCAAGAGCAGAGGAACAGAGACAGGGGTAGCTCGCCCAGGGCTGCACAGCGAGTTAGAAGCCAGCAGGGCCAGGCGTGCAGATCCTGCAAGTCACACTGAACTCCCAGCAGGGCAGCAGAATGGTTCTTCTCAGTACTCGCCGCTCTCTGAAATTCTCCCCTTTACCTGCTTGTTTATCTAGTGTGGCCTTCACTGCCACAGAATCCCCTTCCGGTAGGGAGTATCAGCTCATCTCCCCATTTAAAGAGAACGAAACAGCGGCTCCAGAGATCCGAGACTTGTGCGCTACGTTGGAACTTTGAGCTGGGATTTGAACCCAGCCTGCTCGCCTGCAGGGACCGTGCCACCCTGGAGGCCTAGAGTCCCACACTCGCTCAAGCAGGACGCTCCGGTGCCAGGGAGGGTTCCCTACAGGGGCTCCATGCTATTCCCAACCGCAGCACCCCGGAAAAGCCCGGCAGACATGAGGTCCTCTGCACTGGTCAGCGGAGCCTCAGGCGGGAGTGGAAGGGACCTCTCCCAAGTGACCAGGGCCCAGCCCGCTGACTTCTGGCTTCCCAAGTTCAGGCCTTCGCTGCTGCTTGGAGATCAGCTGTAAGACATTTGATTTCCTTCCTGGTTCGTTTCAAACCCAAGACTTAGGCCCCTTGGATAAGCCCAAAACCCTGTCATAATCTAGCGTCTGAATGAGCTACATCACAAAATGCTCCCTTAAAGGCAGGAAGGTGGCTCACGCCTGCAATCCCAGCGCTCAGGAGGCTGAGGCAGGAGGATGGCTGTGAGTTTGAGGCCAGCCTGGACTGCAGATTGAGAACCTGCCTCCCAAAAAACTAGAAATGTAAAAATAGAAAGAAGAAACGTTCCCATAAAGGCACAAGGCCCTTGGCTTTACTAAAGCTTAGCATTTTTACCAACCTGTATTACCAACCCAATAGCCTTCTGCCAATGCTCAGGTAATTTAAGAAAACTGAAAAATACAGAATAAACCACTGGCCCTAGGATACTTGAAGCTCAAAAGGGCCTCAGGGGTATCAAACCTCAGCCGCATACAGCAACTTCTCTACCACCTCACCTCCTTGTTTGCCTCCAGTGACAGGAGGCTCACTGGCTTCTAAGGATGATTTTCTGGATTTCTGCTCAGCTGGTACAAGAAAGATTAGCCCCTGGTGCTAGGATCAAGGTAGGGCCTCAGCCACCATTCTGCCTGGGGTGGAAGGGACAGTCCCCCAAGAAGGGACACGCATGTGCACTGCTTGCTAGTTCACATTAAAGGGTTCACTGTCACCTTGACACACAGGGACCTGAGGCCGACCTCCCGCAGGGTGTCTGGGCACACAGACCAGTAGACTTGGGGCTCTAGGTGACCAGGGGCAGCGTTCTCCAAGCTGTTGCCAGCCTGCAGGGTTCTAATCGGAAGCCCGGGGAACTCCTTTGCTGGTTAATGGACAGGTCTGTGGTTCTGCAGATGAAATGCTGGGATACACAGGAGAGCCCCCTGTGACTGGACTGGCACAGCAAAGACACTTAAGAAACATCTGCCGGGCTGGAGTCACCAGCAGAGACTGGCAGTGTGCTGCCTACCTTTCTGAGGTAGCACTCAGTGTCGGGGCCTGGCAGGAGGGAGGAAGGTCTGGGAGACAGGCGTGTCAGCAGAGGTGGGAAGTCAAGGACAGTGGCACCCCAAGGGGACTGGCTACTGAAAGCAGACTGCAGACAGGGTCAAGAGCCCTAAGGAATGCAGGGGTTTTCCAGATGGCAGGGTGTTGTGCGTAGCGTGAGAAGCCAAGCCAGGGTGAGCAGCCTTTGTGGGGACACAGGGACCCTAGAAGAGGCCACCCCAGAAACCGCTGAGCTACGGGTGCCTGGGACCCCTGATCACACAGGATGGGCCACCAGCTGCCTCGTCCACGCAAGAAGTTTGGGTGCCTCCAGATGGGAAGGAAGCAGCCTGAGCCCCAGACCTTGGAGACCAGGAGCCCTGCGCAGCGAGCGCTCACCCTGGTGGGCAGGGGAGATTACTCTCAGAGCAAAGCCAGCTGTGCCCTTCCTAGAAAGGGACGCTCAAGTGCAAGGCCCAGGGCAGGACTGAGAAGGCTGGCTAGGAAAGAGGCCGAGGACACAAGGGGTCCCGCTGCCCTCCAGAGAGCAGGGAAGGGGACACAACTAAAACCCAGCCTGGTGGCTGCAAGTCTGGCTGCCTCCGGCCCTTTAATCAGCGGAGACCGTGGCAACTCCAGTCACGAGACCCAAGATTACTTCATGTTTGCAAGCCAAGCAGGAGCCAGAGCACCTGCAGAGGGCAGCGCTGGTCTCCCCCTTGTCCCTCCGATGCAGGGAGCTCTGGGTGCGGGGGGTTGCCAAGCCCTCCGGGGCCTTCCTGAGGCAGCAGCTCCCCAAAGAGGACTGGGCCCCTCAACCCCAAGTGCTGTGTGTCCTTGGACCTGGCCCCACCTCTGGGCCCCAGGGTGCCTTCCAGCATTGGTGCTCACCAGCTGGGCTGTGGGCACTGTGGCACCCTGAGCCACCTCTCAGCTTCTCTTTCCCCACCTTGGGCTGGGGGGTCTGGGCTGCTCCTCTCCTCTCCCTTCCAACTCCACGTCAGGCTCTGAGCTCTGACAGCAGGTCGTGCCACCTTCCAAGTTGGGTGCCAGTCACCTTGCCGGTCCATGTGCAGAGCTGGGCACAACACTGGGGACAGGGGTGACCCAGGAACCTGCGCCAGCCACCTCTCTTCAGAGTTGGACAGAGGGGATTGCACAGGCCGGTTGTCCACTATCAGTGGCGACGGACCCAGCATGTGAGGACATGAAGGTGCACGCCTGTAAACTCAGCACTGGAGGAGGCTGAGGCGGGAGGATCGCTTCGAGTTCAAGGCCAGCCTGAACTACATAGTAAGACCCTGTCTCAAACTCAAACATATAAACAGCAACAAAAACCAAAGGCACAGCAGAGTCCAGCTTCTAGCCAAGCACCAGTCTCTGGCCACCACAAAATGAGCATGCTCGGAGCCATGCGCAGAGCTGACCAGGCAGAGCAGAGCTGTGCTCGCAGGGGGCCGGGGCCTTGACACCCGCTGTCATCTTTTGCTCAGTTTGCTCCAAGAACAGATCACTTACGACAGCTGACAGCTTGGCAATTTCAAGTGGCAACTGCCAGGCAGAAACACGGAAGAGGGTCGCCCCAGGACTTTGGGAGGCCAAAGGAAGCCTTGCCTTTACCAGTCCTGCCCTGCACAGCGGGTGGGGGACACTCTAAGCTCCGGGTCCAGAAGGTCCCACTCTGGCTGGCAGGTAGGGTTCAGGGGTAACATCTGCGCAGCACCCGACGGAACTGGGACCCGGGGTCCCCAGGTCCTATCCCTAAATCCACTCCCCTGGGGGTCTGACCAGAGGGCCCCCCAAAATGAGAGCAGGAGGAGGTGCTGCCCCGGGTTACACAGCGGGTCAGAGACAGGGACGATTTCGGATCGGGCCCCTCC